CCTACAAAAACCCTGCCTTAAACCCAGACTCTTCTACACTCTCTTCGTATCTTGTGCGTCAAGGTCAATGGAAGTTTTGGTCGTGGCTTCATCGTCAGTCGATGGCGGAATCGGATGCTGGGATCTGAGGACCGGAAAGGAGCAGCTAAGCTACAAGTCCTGTGCATCGCCAGCGCACGGCCTCACCGCCGTCGGCCAACGTTTCCTTGCCGCCTCTCAGCTCCGCAGCGCCTCTGCTTCCTCCGGCTCCATTTTCTACTGGTCTTGGACTAAGGTTCGTAACCCTAAATCTCTCTCTCTCTTGTGCTTAAGCTGTTCGATGATTTTTTTTGTTTGCAATTTTCTTTGTTTATTCAGATTCCTTATTTTTTCTTTAACTTTCGTGTGTCTGGGTCTAGTTCAACGAATGGTTGGCTCTACACTTGCAATCTGCCATTTTATTCGATTCCTGATGTACAGAACTGAGCTTTTTTATTTGTAATTTTGTGGTGTTTTGATGATTCGAGAATTATGGATTGCAAAAGGTAGTGAACTTTACCACTTTTCCGGGGATAAATTCCAATGCGTTTTGAGACATTTTTTCCTTCAAGCTTCGACCTTCTTGTTGTGGGTATGCATAGGGGATTTCTGGATTGTTCAGTCCTTCCATAGAACCGTATACTCATTTCACCATCGCTGTAGTGGAACACTCCAATACAAGTTTTTTGTCGTGATCAGACACGGATCAGTGTTTGATGAGACGGAATGTAGGAATAAATAGGATGTTTTTCAAATTGAAGAAACCCAAAAGACTTGATTTTTATCTAATTTTTTTAAGTAAGCTTTAGAAGCTGTACATCATAGGCGTTTTGTGTACATAGTTATTTGTCTATTTGAATTCCATGGTGTGGTGTGGTGTGGTGTGGTAGGCGTTCTAAATTGCAACTTTACCATCTTGTATTAGACATCTCTGCCGTTTGGGATGATCATGTCATTGTCAGCTTACAAGTTGCCTTTTCTTTTTTTGAATTTCTTTGGAACTATTTTTTTTTTATTATTGTAGCCTCAAGTGGAAGTTAAGAGCTTTCCAGTGGAGGCAATAAAGCCTCTTACCGCAAACAGTGGAGGAACTTACATCGTTGGCGGTGGATCCTCTGGGGATATTTATCTTTGGGAGGTAAATTCGTATACCTTTTATTTGAGTTTTGTTTCAAATTGGCTGCGTATTAGAGTGGTCATTTCAGGATTCGGTTCGGTTATATTTGGGTTCTGTTATATTGAATTCGGTTCTGTTTGGTTCAGATGTATTTCTGTTTTTTTTT